AGCACTGGGTCACGGTCACCATGCCAACCCAATGGGAGTAGGTCACGCATGCGATGGCTGCTGTCCATTTTGGCACTTGCTGCGCTGAATAGAAGTCATGCCGGGTGTGCCAGCCTTTTATGAGACGCTTACCAGACCGTCTATAAACATTTCTGGTTGGGGACTTGGTTGATTCTGGCTGTGATCGTCGTCCTGACTGCGACGTTAAAGAATTCCTGAAGAGATGGGGGCGCTCTATTAATTCCTCCTGATCAGCCAGATCAACCGGGTGTAAGGCTCGTTCCGTACGAGGGTAAATAAGAGTGGACTGGTTGGCTTGCTCGGCAACGACTTGGGCACAGGGGTGGGCCGAAATACACACGAAGACACCGCTTGCTCAATGATGCTTACCGGTATGTTGGATTGAGGGGAGGGTAGGTTCTAATTAGTGCTCAAATGTATACACAACCATACCCACCAATCATACATCTGCAACATTGTCTTTTTGTATTCTTGATTAGTTGGTGGACAGACTGCTAACACCTCACAGACAGAATAGATTAGGACTGTTGTAACCTACCACAACCAGTTCTTTCTATTGCTGCAGTAAGAGAACCCATCAAGATACATCTCGACTATGTTGACAATCTGTTGTGAATGTTGTAGACTTGCCACTTGATTGGTACAGTAGGGGACCTGCCGGACACAACTATTTTTAGAAAATTAGGTGCCGGTCAGACACATGCTGTGGTAGGACTCCACTAGGGGGTTCTAGTGCAGATAGTGTTTGCCTAACTCATGAGCGGATCAGACACCGATGAGGGTAGAGTTGACAATGTGAGACTTACACCTTCGAGAGCACTTAGTGTCCCGCACGTGTATCAAGCCTTACAACCGGAAGACGAAGCACGACTTCGTGCCGAACGTAGAGTCCGTGCTCTTGCAGCAGCGAGGGCAGAAGCGAACCTAGCAGCTAGGGAACAGGCTGCAGCAGCAGCCAGGGCAGCAGCCATGTCTTCTGCAGGAGCAACCTCTGCTGCATCTTCTGCTGTGTCCTCGTCTGGGACCCAGTTTGGAATGCCAACAGGGTCCACGGGTACTTCCAGTTCTATAGGTTCTCGACAGTCTACCAGTCAAATGGCGGGCTCGCAGTTCAGCTCGTTGACCCCACGCGAGAGGGAGCTTAGAGAGCTCCAACAGGTCGAAAGGATCCACGAGCGATTAGAGAGGGAACTGAAACAAGCTACCGACAGAGAAAGAGAAATTAAAAATAGAACAGCTAGGCTTGACACGTTAGAGGCTGACAAAGCTGAGCTAGAGGGCTTGGATGATTCTGGAATGTCTGAGCCCATGAAAGTGTTGAAGAACAACATGCTGTCGCTGCATGCGCACGTGGACAGCAGGTTGGACTTCATGCAGAGCACTCTTGACCAGATCCTGGACGTTTTGACAAGGCCAGGATTTAGGCCACCAGCACAGTCGTCGTTGCCGTTAACGGCGATGTCAGGCCCCTTTCCAGTTCAAGCTGACACACAACCAAGTGGCACGTCTGCAGCAGCCACACAGACTGTTGCGTCTTCTTCTTCGGGTCCAGTGGTGGGAGCTACACCACCGCAACAACCTGTTCCTCAACAGGGACAGCCGCAAGGTCAATGGTATCCTAAAACCCCAATGAAACCGCCTCTTGCCTTCTCAGGCGAGAGGAAGGACGAAGAACTCAACACTTGGTTGAGAACAGTTCCGGTTTGGGTAAAGGCAAAGAGGACCTTGCCAAAGGACGAAGTGGTTACTGCGACGCATGGCGGACTGGGCTAAGTCTCTTACATTAGACCAGTTCATGGAGATGGTAGAAGCTCGATGGCATAATCCACAGGAGGCACAAAGAGCCACTGATGCGATCAACAGACTAGACCAACGAAAGTTTAAGTCGGTCAGAGAGCTTACGACTACCGTAGAGAGCCTGATCCTCGTCCCAGGCATCAACTACAGTGACCAGTTCCTGTTAACTACGTTCGTCAGATGTCTTCCAGAGAACATCAGGAACTTGCTGGCCAGCGAGGCACGCCTCGAGTACCATTCGTTTGAGACGTTGTCTAGGAAAGCCTTAGATTTGGAGGCCACTCTAGGCAATGCTCAACCCTCTCAGACTGACACGAAGAAGAAGAAGAGTCCTCAGGAGTGGAAGAAGAAGTGGGCTAAGTTGATGATGGTTGAGTCCGATGGGACTCAAACGGAGATCGACGAGCTCACTAACCTGATGGACTATTCAGAGCTCGATGGCGAGGAGACCGCTGAGGGTAGCACCCTCGCCGCAGTTGTAAAGGCTAAGGAAGGTGGCCGAGTGAAGGGCCAACCAAAGAGCCAAGGGAAGGCTGCCTCCAATCAAACCAAAGTGGCTGATTGGGTCAAGGCAGGTCTTGATCAAGACGTGTGGCGGGACCGCCGAGTGCGCGGCGCTTGTATTAACTGTGGTGAGTATGGACACGCCCAGTACAAGTGCCAAAACGCAAAGGTCACGCAGAAGATACCTCCCAAGATGGGGTCAGCAGTCTTGCTCAAGGGCCTGAGCACCGACTTATACCACAGTGTTGCAAACACTACATTGTTAATTGCCAGCGCCCGGCCAAAGATGGAGGTATGCTTGTTACGCCAGTCAGACAACTTGGCTAAGGCAGGGGCCGAGATCCAATCGTCGTTTGAGGGAGGGCGGCCTAGAGCAGTCAATGATACTCCTAGAACTCGAACGGGGGTCTGCAAGGGGAACCAGTGTATGTTGGGAGAGTCCGGTGGTCGGCCCCCTTGATAGTGGATCCACCACCTCTGGGTTTTACTTCCCCAATTCACCACCATGTCTGAAGCCCGGGCGAACCTATTCATTAGACATTGAATCTTCATCATGTTCTCCTGAGTGGCATCCACTATGATGGTGAGGTCGTCTGCAAACAACGGACATATTGGGACCGCATCCTCGGAGATTCTCATGATCTAAATTTTTTTTATGTTCTTATTAGCCCGGAGATTGGCCGATAAGGCTTCCATAATAATGAGGAAAAGAAAGGGCGCTATAGGGTCACCCTGGCGTACCGACCGCTCTAACTTGATGGGGGGGGCCAGGGTCCTGTTTATTTGCACCCTCGTGGTGGCATTATGGTGCAAGATACGTATCCACTTACAGAAGACCGGCCCAAAATTCATTTTTTCCAAACTTTTGTCTAAGAAGAACCAGTCCACATGATCGTAGGCCTTCTCGAAGTCTATGAATATGAGCGTTGCGTTTTGTTTAGATTGTCGGGACAACTGTAGCACCTCGTTGACCAATAGGATAAATGCTTCAAAACTTGTGTTTTCACCGATTTAGGTGCTTGGGTAAGTTGCGATTCATCTTGTGATAGTTCGGTGAACTTTCCCCTTGCGTTGATGCTTCAAAACTTGTGTTTTCACTGATTTGGGTGCTTGGGTAAGTTGCGATTCATCTTATGATAGTTTGGTGAACTTTCCCCTTGTGTAAATGCTTCAAAACTTGTATTTTCACTGATTTGGGTGCTT